ACCACTTGTCATAATTCTTCAAATCAAGAATCAGAAGGTTGGTGGAAATTCTATCGTTGGAAACAGTACTCATTGTTGCAGCAGAAATGGATCAGAACCAGTGCTCTTGATATCAAATGTTAGAACATACAAAATCTCTAATGGTGAATTAATTTGGAGAAGATGAAGTTAAGAAATAGAGAGAGATGGAGAGAGAGAGAGAGAGAGAGAGAGAGAGAGAGAGAGAGATAGATAGATAGATAGATAGATAGATAGATAGAGAGAGAGAGAGAAAAAGGGGGTGAGAAAAATAATTGGCATTAACAAGAATTGGAAGCATACAAGGCCTTTATATACAACAAGTACAAAATAATTGAAAATAACAAAATAACTTAACAAAATAAGCTAAAAAACTGAAAACTGAAAAAAAGAAGAAAAAAAAACCAAAATATGCCTTCGTAATCGGTTATGCAAAATGTCATTACCGATTACGAGTCTGATACTAGTAAATCCTAAGACTTTTTTAACTTCCTAATCGGTTACGCAAAAACCCGTAACCGGTTACCACAACAGAAATGTCAAAAACTGATTTTCAACAATATTATAGGTGTGTTTGATTTGGAAAAGAAGTTGTGAGGAGATAAGTTGATAAGATAAAGTATAGAAAAAGAGAATAAAATGAGAAATATAGTATTGTGGAGTTGATTAATTTAAGAGAAGGAGGGAAAAAAAGAAGTGTCGCATATTTTAAAAAATACATTATAATATTATCATGATAAATAACATTTTCAATTAAATTAATTAAATTCTTTAATTTAAATTCAACTAAATAGCTAATTGTTTTTACTGTTTATTTTTAATAGAATCATTGTATTTTTTATAATTATTTATACTGTTTAAATATATTTTTAGTCTTTTTATTTTAATTTTTTTATGTTTTTAAACTCAATCTTTTGATTGGACAATTTAATTATTTTAAACATTTTTTACTCTTCTCTATTTTTTTCAAAGGTATTTGTTAAGACATTGATAATTAAGATAAAAGATATATATAATAGCATTAATTAATATGTGGGATGATGACTTATATTTTTGGAGTAAGAGCATTAAAGATTTTTATTATAATATTATTTTTATCATAAATGGTTGAGTTTTAAAATGAAGAATCTAAAAAGAAAAAAAATAAAATAGAAATATCAAAAGTGTATTTAAATTAAAATTAAAATGGTAAAAAATACGGTACAATGAAAATAGAATTAGACAAAAATCATATTGCTATTATTTTTGAAAAAGAACATTCAAAACCATGTTTTTATATAAACATTTTAGAGAGACAAGTGCTACCACGACCAAAACGAGAAATAAAACACAAGTGTACATAAGTACATTTCACATTCTAAAATATAGACATTGTTTTACTTTAATAAGAGGACAAGTTAAAATAAAAAGCCTATTCCCTTCGTTGATTTTATTTCTTCTTCCAGCCAAACACAATATATTTTGGATCACTCGTAAGATTCGCAAAAAAAACCTGGTAATGAATGTTAAAGAAGAAGACACATGAAACATGTGGACCATCGCCTCTGTTAAAGACACACAATCATTCCATTCATCACATCTCTAATTGTTGGCTCTAATCAAGCGATACTCACTTAAGGTAATGAATCACCCGTGAACAATTTTAATCGTCTATACTATATAAATATCAATTCCCGTCATTTCATATGTTCAATTTGTTCCCATTCTAAAATTACTTTTTACTCATTCACTGACTTAAGCATTGGAGTGCTAACCTTGCAGGTCCAACTCCTTTTCATTGCACTGAAAGTCCAATCTAGAAAATCGGAATTCTGATCTATCGCATTTGAGTTATATTTCATCCCTTCATCACCTATCTCTAGTTTCTTTAAAATACTGGCATTATCTGTGGGAATCAACTACTGATTCCTGCCATTTTTCTGAATAAAATACTTTGAACCCTTTGATGAAACCATGAAATTTTTAACAATGGCCAAACTTCTTTAAAGAATAATATGCCCAAGACAAACATCATATTGCAACCAATCTTGAAATACCAGGACCCAAATCATAATACACTAAAGCTCAACAAACTCGAGTTTGAGATCAATGCACCATATCTTACCACGATACCATAACAATTCTCAAATTCCCATGCTCAATGTCAATAGAGGAAAACCCTAATGAAGCTTCTGAGATGACTTTAACCCTTGATAAGAATATACTCGTGATGACAATCCAAAACCTAACTCTTAAAACCAGTTGAATTAATCTTCAAATGAAATAGAAACCTTAGCTCGATGGAAAAACTTGATTCTTCAGAAGGCCTTAATCCCACACCTTAGGATCCTATGCAAAATGAGTGATTGCAAATGTATGACCCAGTGGATAATGCACATGAATGTGAAGCAATGGCCAATTATAGTTAGGATAAAGCGAGGGAAAATTTTGGGGGTGAAACACCTACTTTCAATAGCAATACGGTCACCTTTTTTAGCTCTTCCATGTATCAGTTCCACTAAATGGTAAAAGCATTAACGCGTTTGTGAAGCACTTCTTCTTACTTCTGAAGAAAGTCAGGCATGAAAACATTTACCCTTTTGGAGGCACTTAAGGCCAAAATAGATGACAACTGATGAGTTGGTATGCCAGTTCTTCCAAATACTCTTAACAAACGACCCCAATTTTTCCCGAAAAATATGTGTAAGCCTTCTCAAAAATAGAAGGTCGAAACTCTCTAGCCATACGCGGAACAAAACGGGCCATAAGTGAAGGTGGTAATGAGGTTTTGGTCAATGTTTAACATATACCCAGACTAGGCCTTCATAAGTTTATCTTTGGCGTCCGAAAAGTTGATTGACGACCCTTCTCCATTAGGCACTCCAGCAATATGATTTGTCACACTACTCCATCAGATTACAAACATGGATGCCAGAACTTGGAGAATTTATCAAAACATTGATAAGGCGGCTCAAAGTCTATGTATGCATGAGCCATCGCGGTAAAGGGGATAACCAGGTAATACTAGCTCGTGAAGTTCTTCACACACTCCGAATAAACCTCAAACATCTTGGTATTCTGCCTAAGAGAGATCAGACCTTGACACCAGGTAGAATAAAGAAACTTTGTTGGGATTTAGATAGGATGAAGAAGAGCGACAACGACAGAACCCCTTTCTCGTATTCAAATGAGTACTGGAAGACTTTGATATAAGGCTAACTTAGCGGGTTCAGATGTGAAGGAGAAATCACTATATGATTTAGAACACCCACCTTAAAGCCATTAAATGGGAGTTAGAAACTATTGAAGAAAACAAGCACTCTTGGAGAGGGATGACACACCCATCATACTTGTTGCATATCCTTTTACCCCTTTAGGAAAGGAGCATTTCTCATCCTGAGGAGGAACCCACTATAGTAAATGTGTGATCATGACTACCCTTACCGATGAAGGCATAAAGGATATCAATGTCTTTTGATCCACCCACAAGGCAAAGTTATCTCTTATTTCCTTCTAGGCTCCGAGTTGAGAGTTGTCCATAAAAGTTCATCTATGGTGAGAAAATTCGCCAAAGTATGAGACAAAAAAAGATTAAAAACACATAGCTCTCATCCTAGAAATCCTAATAAAGCAAGCAAGTATGAAAAGAAAAAATAAGGTCCAAGTTCAGACGTCACCCTGAAAAATATGAACTTAGTGACCCATACGTTGTATGCTCCGCCAAAAGAGGTGGCGCTAGTATGTCAAAAATAATAGTTGATGGGAGGAGATTGGCGAAGATAAATGAGGTTGTAAGCGTGAGAAGAGTTCTTAAAGATTCATAAATGGCGAAAAAGGAAGCATGGTAACTCCAGAAGTCCTTATATGTCTTTCGTGGAAGATGAATTGTGCAACCACAGCGTTGAGAAGTGTAAACCGCACCACCAATAGTTGAGGTATCATCTCGAACTATTTAAGTGCACTAAAAGACCAAAATTCTAGGAGGAATCATTACCGACAGATATAGTGACACATGTTGAAATGTATATGTGAAACGTTGATAATCATGAAGGAGACATTTTATACATCTCTTTCCAAATGACATCAACATCTCATCAAAGCTCTTCTATTTTCTTCTACCACCGAAGACAAACCCGATAAAACTCTCGTTCTACAACGTAGGAACAAAGGCTTAGGGAAAATATTATGGACCCCCTATAAGGCCCACGAAGAAGGCGTAATAAAGAGTGTCGAAAAAGAAGGCACACGAAATAGGTGGACCCCTGCTCCAGCCTAGGACACACGATCACACCCTGCATCGCATCTCTCACCGTTTGATCTATTCGAACACCAATTCACACAAGAAGTTGAATCATACACGAGCAATTCTAATCGCTTATACTATATAAAAATCAATTCACACTATTACATCACTTTATTAACCTATTTTCGATTTTTTAAAACAAACACAAAATATTCTAAAATATTTTCTTCTCTACATTTATAAAATATCTCTTCCATCTATTGACCTAAACATACCCTCCATTTAAATTCGGACAATCAAAATCGAAAAGTAATTGGAATCAAGATCCATGTTCTCATCGAGATGTTTGTACATTGTACTCCACTCTATATAGAATAGTACTACCACTTCTCTTCTTCAAACTAAACATTTTCATAGCCACACAATTTCAAACCATAAAACCTCACCTCAATCCTCATCAGCCACATCTCATCTTCATTCTCCACATGTCAACCAACCATTAGTCTTCCTCATATATCCCTTGACACATCACCACCTCCGTATCACACATTGCATCACACCAAAACAACACATTCTTACCTTTTTACACCTCTCTTTCTATCTTCTCCATTTTGCCACTCATTCCACAAAGAAACAAAATCATCATCATTATCAAGATATTAACACTTTCATTCATCTTCTAAACTCTCATATGGTAGTTCAATAAAAGTTCAAAACTTTGAGAGCCTCACAAAATTTTCTGTGAAATTCAAATTATGCTATGGAGGCCCTCAATTCTGCTGTTTTCACCCCCCTTTCTGTGCTTTCTGATAGAACAAAAAACCCCACAAAAATTCCATGCAAAGTTTCCAACTTTTCCACTTCAACCAACAGAAAACACAACCTAAAAGAGTTTTTATCAAAGGGTTTACAAAAGGGTCTAATCCTTGCAGCAACTTCAGTTGTGAATGTTAATGTTAATCATGGTGAATTTGCCAAAGCTTTAACATATGAAGAAGCATTAGGACTATCTCCAAGTGCTTCAAACTATGGTGGTGACATTGATGTTAATGGTTTTGTAGACAGTGTGGTAGGCTTTGCAACTGGTAACCCTGCAATTCTAGCTGGTGGAGTAGCTATTTTGGCAGTTCCATTGGTTTTGTCTCAGATTTTGAAGAAACCTAAGCCCTGGGGGGTTGAATCAGCTAAAAATGCTTATGCTAAATTGGGTGCTGATGGGAATGCTCAGTTGCTTGATATAAGAGGTTTGTCTGAGATTAGGCAAATTGGTGGCCCAAATGTTGGGGGTTTGAAGAAGAAATCGGTGTCCATAGTTTATAAAGGTGATGATAAGCCAGGGTTTTTGAAGAAGCTTTCTTTGAAATTCAAGGACCCTGAGAATACTACATTGTTCATTCTTGACAAGTAAGTATAACAAAGATCAATTTTATTTGAAGAATGTTGGTGTTTTTGTCAATTGTGATACCTGCTAATGTTGTTTTATATTAGTGTCTGTTTACTTTCTAAAAACATTTTTCAGTTTCTTATCTGTGTTCATTTTAAATTACTAAGAAAGAGATGGAAGATTCATGTAGTAAATAATTGTTATAGAGAGAAGAAGATATTGAAGTTGTATTAGAGTCTCACATTGCTAAGGTTCATGGCCGTGTTGTGTATATATGTGTGTGGGCTCTCCGAGTAATCTTTTGAGACGCTATCAGATGTCCGATCCTGGGCGTGAGGAGGTGTCTTAGGAATCTCACATCAGATAATATTTGGCTTGAACATGTACTGATAAGTGGGATAATCTTCGCCTCACCTTACAGGCCGGTTTTGTAGGGTTGAGTTAGCCCCCAATCACATTTCTTAACACTAAGATTCAAACCCGTTTAACAGATGAAATACATGTTACAAAGAATGTATTTTTAAAAACATGAAAACAAAAGCTGTAAGGGTTGAAATTAAATATTCAAGTCTAGCTCAACTGACAAGTGTAGATATTGTTAGGCTAGATACTTTTATTGGGTTCGAATCCGGGACCTAGCAGTTGTCTGCATGAATTTCTAGTGGTTATTGCGATTGCAATCAAAGATATTTATGTCATTGTTTCGCATTCAAATGGCCGTTTCTCTTAAATTAATCTGGTATATAGGTATTTCCATCCACTAAGGAAAAGAAAAGGAAAAAAAAAACATAAATCACATTTAAAGCTTCAGTTTAAAGTTATTTTTCTGTGGTTGTGAGTGATTTCTATGTTGTCTTCGACAATGTGTTACAGACTGAATAATATCCCCTGTGAGAATTATAAAATTTCATGGTATAGCTTCAAAATGAGTCTAGGGGAAGAAATTGAGAAATCATGAACACGAATTTGTTGTTTCTGATTTACCATGTGATGAAAGTTAATTATTGTTGTTTCTTCTTGCACTTTGCAAAAGAATATACTTGAGGCTGATTGAGTGAACTTGTGATGGAAGCCAGATTTGACGGGAACTCTGAACTGGTTGCAGAATTAGTCACCCTTAATGGATTTAAGTCTGCTTATGCAATTAAGGATGGCGCAGAAGGACCACGAGGATGGGTGGTAATTATTTTCCTTTTCCTATTTTTCATATTTATCATAATCCTATGTTTTTCGATGTTCGTATACACTCGCTCACATTGTCTGGAATTCTGCAGAATAGCGGTCTTCCTTGGATTGAACCAAAGAAAGCATTGGGCTTTGATTTTGGAAGTCTCACAGATACTATCAATGATGTAATCGGAGTATGTATCTTGGACTTATCTATTTACGATTGTAATATTTCAATGTTGAAGCACATGCAAAATACTACTATTAGTTCAGATTGCTTAATAGTTGACAAAAATCCTTATGTTAAATTAAAGAATATCGTGAATGTACTCAAGTTATGTCGGAGAGAAAGAAGTTTTAGCTTTCTTAGATTGAGAGCTTTTGCGAACAAGATTTTAGTTTTCTAGGTGTGTCTGATTAATAGTGGTTTATTGCAGGAATCTGATGGCTTGGTTGTTACTCTTGGGATTGCTGCAGCTACTGGATTGGGTGCATTAGCTTTTTCTGAGGTTGATATAAATGAGTTTTTGCCTTTTTCGCAATATGCATTAATACACTATTGTATGACTCTACTCACATATTTTCCGCGTCATTACTCTATTTGTAGGTAGAAACAATTCTCCAACTTGTAGGATCTGCTGCAATTGTTCAGTTTGCAAGCAAGAAGCTTCTTTTTGCCGAGGTAAGTTTGTTTTTCTACGCAAGATGAATTTAAGTCGTTTATTATGATAAATTCTGTTGAACAATGCAACGTTGAATCAAGAAAGCTTGTTGATGAAATAAAGGTGCTTGAAATGTTGATTTGATGGCAGGACCGGAAGAAAACACTTAAACAAGTTGACGAGTTCTTGAACACCAAAGTCGCTCCTCAGGAGCTTGTTGATGAAATAAAGGTGCTCGAAACTTTTCACGATCTACATCGCTATAGTTCAGTTACAACTATGACGCGATGCATTTTAGATTATGTGGTGTGACTCTTCTTATTTTTCCCTTCCTTTTTAACATTGTTCTCTTTGAATGGAATGGCCGCGAACATTAGGACATTGGAAAGGCCCTTCTACCAACCTCCACCATCAGCGATAAGGCTCTTCCCGCACCAACAGAAACTGCTCCAGAGCTTGCTACAGCCAGTGCCACCGAACAGAAAGCAGAAGTTACTCCCGATATTGTCGAGACCGTACAGAAATCAGAAGCTCCTCCTCCTGAGATTATCTCCGAGACCAAAGTAGAAGCAGCAGCAGAACCTGCTCCAGAAATAAACTCAGTCCCCAAAACTGAAACTGTGGCAGAATCAATTCCGGCGCAACCTAAACCGCTTTCACCATACCCATATGTAACGTCTTATTCTGCCGCTCTTTTGAATTTTCCACTTCAATGCTGATTAAATATGCTTCTTGTTGCCAATTTCCTTGCAACTTTACTTTGTTTTATATTCAAACTTTGCATTTTTTCTTGACTTGCAGTATCCAGATCTCAAACCTCCAACATCTCCATCTCCTACACAGCCCTAGAGTGAAGAGAATTCTATAGCAGGCAAAATAGTTATCCAAAATATTCCGCATGTATTCTTGTTATGATCATAATCCTTAAATTTGTGCTACTCAGTAGCCTTGTTTCTGTTATTGATCTATGTGGAGGTAGTTGTACTATTAGTTGTTTATTTGTGATTTAGTATCATATTACATCATTCAGTTTTGAATAAGCAAATAAGGTTTCAAATGTGACTTTGTAATGATTCATGAAGTTTGGATTTAGTAAAGCATTGAACTTTTGGTTAGCACTTGTGTTAGGCTTGTTAGCAATATGTAGAGATGATTATTCTGCTGCATTTTTTCATGTTCAAAACTCATCAACTTGTTCATCACTTTTATTCATCTATCTTTATTATTTTTTATCTTATATATTGTTGATTTCTTTAGTTCTTGAATCTTGAGATAGAGGAGTTATTGAAAGGAGATACAGAGTTGTTATTAAAAGAAGATACATAGGTTTCAGATATCTATTCAAGCTTTTATTTAAAATGTGTTTATTTACACAATTCAGAGAATTGAAGATATATTTTTCTGCTTCATTGGTTCTTGAGGATTTATGATTGATTAAATATGATTTGCATTAAGAAAATGAGGAAATCAAGCAAGAAAATCTAGAAGACATCAATTTATTCTTTGGTCGGATGAAAATCAACTAATTAACTATTAAAGGTTTCATAAGAACACCATAAATTTGAAGATATTTCCTCCCTTATCATTTTAGCCTATTTGACATTCTAACTTCAATCAATATAAAAATGAATAAGTATGAAAAAAAATTGTTTTGAAAAACCAGTTTTCATACATGCCTAAAAGAACATGTTAATTAAATAAATGCCTAAAAGAACTATTAAAAGTTGATTAAATATGATTAAAAGTTTCACGTTATTTAGAAAAATGGAGGTTGAATAATTTATACGTGAGATGATCCATACATCTATCATTTTAAAGTTTTTGGTAAATATGTGGTGTCCCTATTACTCGTGTGTCACTTTTGATCGAATAGAGATATGGATGCTCTTCGTGCTAACTCAACTTCGGTATCAAAGCCGATGGTTCAATTAATTGACCGGCTCTTTGTATCGAAAATCTTTCTAATAATGTGGTGGTCAGGCGGCGTGTTCTGTTGTCACGCTCGCAACGGTGATATAAGTGTATTTGGACGAAAGAGAGGGAGCATAATGCGTGCAACATGCATGAATTGATTTGTGATGTTTATTTTATTTTATTTGTAAATTATCTAACATAAGTTTATAATATATATATATATATATATATATTTATTATAATTATAATTTTTATTAATTATAAAAGCTTAAGTCTAAACGATCAAATTTATTTATTCAAAAAAAGATACATTTTGACTTTTAAATTATATTTTTATTTAAAATAAAGAGATTTTTAAAATTTTTAAAAATTATAAATTTTAAAAGAGTTTTTAAATATTAAATTATAAATTTTATTTAAATTAAATTCTAAAATTATATGATTTTTAAATTTTTATTTAAATTAAATTCTAAAATTATATGATTTTTAAATTTTTTTAAAAATAAATGTGTTAATTAAATTTATATTTTATTTATAATTTAAAAACTATATTTAATGGATGATAAACAAATTCAACTCAACTGAATCTATTGATGAATGGACTAGTTTGATTTGAAGTAGAGATTAATCACTCAATTCAAACCAAACTTTATTGATAATGTCAGATATTTAATTTAACTAAATTAAACACAACCCAACCCATGAACACCACTAAATTTAATAATATTAAAAATTGAAATTATTAATTTTTTTATAAAATTTTATATATTTAAAATTTTTAAAAAAATATTTTTAGAACACTGATTAACTAGACCCTAACCTAACTTTTTTCATACTGATTTTAGTATTAGTATAACTTTCATACAATTTTTGTGTGGTTGGGACAGTAAAACTTTCATTCAATTTTATATGCATTCTTATATGGTGATATTATTAGTTGAAGGGTACTGAAGTGTTACCCAACTTTTTTATGAACTTTTCATTGATTATCAAAGATTTTAGCTGTTTCTAATATTGATTACTAGATTGAATCTTTGATAATCAATGGAAAAATTCAATCTAGATAATAAGATTTAGCTTAACTAGAGTAAATGATAGTGATGTAGTTTTTAGATATTTTAGCTTATTGCTTTTCCATTCTTCTGCGCAGCTGCTTCTATAATGCTATCATATTTTCTTATTGCATAATGACCAAAGAGTCCTTCAAAATGACCGTTATCGCCCCCTTCTATTAAGAAAAATAAAAGTGCTTAAAAAAAAGCGAAATTGAAAATCAAAATCTGAAATTCGTTTTCCGTTGCTCCAAGTTCATTGAGCTCAGCATAATCAATGGGTAGAGTTAAGCACTTCCCACGTCCAAGTAAACCCGCTGGTAAGTTCCAATTTCTGAAAACTCTTTTTCAAATTCATTAACTCCTCTTCGTTTTGCAAATTCAGAGTTGTATTTTTCTTTCTCAGTTAGTTTTTGTTTAATCATTCAGCAAGTGACAATCAAGAAAAGAGGAAAAGACGGTCTAAACCTGGAACAAAGGCAGTTCGTGAGATTCGAAAATTTCAAAAGGATGTTAAATTGCTTATACCATATGCCCCATTTGTAAGATGTGTAAGTTCTGTTAATTAGGTTTTAGGTTTTAGTTTTATATAATGATTATGGTTTGTTAAACAATCCTTTTTGCTTTAAGAAATTAGCATTTGCAACTTAATTATTTTGGGTTTAATCTAGGGCCGGCAATGAACTGAATCAACTTGAAAATAGTTCAAAACTCGATTTGTCAATTAAATCGTTGAACTAGGTTCATGAACCAAATGAGCTGGATATGAGCGAAAAACTAAGTTCGTTAACTAAATGAGCTGAACTTGAACTATACATAGTTCGACTCGTTAGGTTCATGAGTCAACTCGATTACATATGAGAAGGATTATATTGTCTTTAAGATTAGGTTTAAAGATTTACTCCAAATCTTAATCCTAAATATGTACCTTATGTACTAGTTATGGCAGTAAAACCGACAATCGAATTTAGAGTCATCCTTGTTGGAGGCATAATGACATTTGCTAAAATAATATGTCTAATGAAGGTTGCAAGTGGTGTAGTGTAATCATTCATTACAATTATGTATCAATTTCTAGTAATTTTTGGTGTACTATTTCATTAAAATTGTATGTTTCCTAAATATTTAGACGAAGTTGTGGATTTTTGAGACAAATTTAAACTTCAATTGAGTAGTTTTTGAATTAGACTTTCAAATGTATCTCTTGAAAGTTGTGTAGTTTTTGAATTAGTAGATTTTTGAGATAAAGTTAAATTTCAATCAGATAACTTTTATTTTATTTTAACATTTTCTTTTTTAAAAAATATTAATTTAAAATGTCAAATATATAAAAAGAACACAACAGACTTAAAAAAATGGCTTTTAAGTCCGTGAACCAAGTGAGTTGAACCTAATGAGATGAACCTAACGAGTTGAACAGAACTGTTCGTGAACTAATAACGAGTTGAGTTTGAATTTAAAAAAAAGTTCGTGTCGAACTCAAACCGAGATTTGAGTTGAACCAATTCTTAACGAATCGAGCCGAGCTGAGGCGAGTTCGACTCGACTCGACTCATTTCCAGCCCTAGTTTAATCCAAAAGCTCACTTAAGCTGTAACTTAGAAGCTAATGACATCAAAGTCACTGATTTGGTTGGCTTGAATTTTTTGAGAAGTTTGTTGTGCTGTTCTTATGATATCTTTTATCTTGTGGTTGTAGGTCAAGGAGATTACAAATCAATTCTCGTCACGGGTTACTCGCTGGACGCCGGAAGCGTTGATATCACTTCAGGAGGTATGTAACTGTTTTTCATATTCATTTTAGTGTTAGTATAACTAAAATCAGTTTTAATTTATTGGGATTATGATATTAAAACTTTCGTACTTAGAAAAGTTATTCATTTGATTCTAATCCCACACAGTTTTATGTGTATTTATTTTATATGCATCTTATATGATGATATTATTAGTTGAAGAATACTGGAATGTTGCCAAATCTGCTTAGGAACTATCCATTGATTATCAAAGATTATAGCCATTTCTGTAGCCGTTACCCTTGAATAATAGCTGGATTGGTAACACAGTTCTAGTTAATTGATGTTCGGTTATGAAAGTGGCATGATTGTAATATGTGTTATACATTAACTTACACTGTGTGAAAAGACCGTATTACAACTTGCGAGTAAGAGTAAATGAGTAATGCAACTCTTGTAATCAATTTTTCTCCAAGAAGGAATTCTCCATCTGTTAAAAGCATTTTCCTTTATTTTTATTTTCCGGGTTGTATCAGAGCTCCATCTGCAGGGGCTTTGCTGTGCAACTCTCATCATTTTCATAATCTGTTGGTATCATTTCTTGTCTTTCCTACGGAAAAATTTATTCATGGATACTTCAAGTCATATTCCCATGCACCCAAACGAGAACCTTGTTACCGCTTAGCACTCCAACTCCCACTGAATATACCAGGTGCATGAGATGCAAGGGGGATATCAGTTGTCAGTGCCCTAACAATGGCCATTTTGATCAATGGCCAGCCACCTCAAATTTCTAAGTAAATATCTAGTTGTTTGGTTATATCGTATAGCAAAAAGCCCTGTGTTGTTGTATCTTTCAGTAGTTCCATCAACATGATGATTTACTTTGAACAACCATTTATAGGCTAGAGCTCTCTTAACCTGTGGAGCAGAAAGGGGAACACATGCTTGATTCTTCTCTAGAGCTAGCAATTTAGCCTTCATCAAATTTCTCAATGTTCATGTTGCACAACTTCTTTATGTGCATGTGGAAATAACTAAAGAGTTGTTTGTGAGACATGGAAAAATGTTGATATGAGTGGTAGTTTTTTTTTATAAGCTTATTAGTGGTAGTTATAGATAGGGTGTATGATTCTTGAAGATGGTTAAAATTTTGATGCGATCAAAGAGCAACTAAATAGGTCTCTTTTGGCTCTTTGAGTGTCTTAGAGGATACTAGTGTTTGGGGATTGTTGGAGTATGTTATTATTGCTCTTTTCGAACTCAGATCAATGTTACTTAGCCCCACTTGTAACCCATAGAGACTAGGTAAAAAATTCAAACGTTCACAAACCACACCTCTTTCCCACCTTACTGTTAACCCATATGTTCACAACTCACCTGTTTTGAAAACATTTCATATGGAACATGATGAGTCCTTTTTGTTTTGAAAACCCGACAGGCAGCTGAGGATGATCTGATTCGTATGTTTGAAGCTGGAATACTCTGCGCACATCATGCAAGGCGTATTACCCTTAGTAAGTTGATTTATTTTTTATTTATTTCTTTCTTCTGGTTTTCTGTTCATGGTCACATATCTTTTTACACTAATCTCACCAAATATCTGTTATTTGATTATTTTTGTTGCTATCTCAGTGAAAAAGGATATTGAGCTGACGCGCAGGCTTACAGGAATAGGGAGACCTTGGTGAAAGCAACACACCAGTAGTGAAAACCATTGTTGCCGCTGAGTATAAACTTGACATTCTTCTTAAAAGCCATTGCTACTTTGTAAAGCCCAATTTAAAGTTAGATACTAGGAGGCTTACTCATTATGTTGTAGGTGAAAAATGTGTGTTGTAAAAGGAACCATCATCGTAGAAAAATGGTTTATTACTACTGCTGAGTCTGAATGAGAATTGGTGAGGTGTCATTATTTAAATTGTAGTAAGTAAAATATTTATATCATGTTAGAAATTAGATATTAAAATCATATGAATTCATCTTGTATCTTTGTTGGGCTGAATTTGTTAATGCATCTTATATATTTTTAACTACCACGTGAAATTATTTAAATGTTTCTAGTTTTCGATGCATTTTAGGATGCACTAAACTCTGAATGAACGTTGAAATATTTTGAAAGTACATCTCTGGAACAATTTAAAACATTCAATACATCATATTCAGAAGTTATTTTACATTTGAATTGTATTAGAGATGTATCTCCGTGAATATTCACATCAGAATAAGTTTTTCACGTTATATGTTGTTTATCTGTGTTCAGATGAAAATTTAAACTATACCGTATAATAAAAAATAAAAAATCTACGTACATAGTTTCAGATGGTCCAAAAATGCTATACAAAAATAAAATACCAATAAATGTAAAAAATGTCATACAATGGAGATCAATACAGTAGTAAGACCATCAAAATAAAATACAGATTTTGACTACCTCTCCTCTACCGCCTCTGCCATGTCTACCTCCTCGCCACCAATCCCGTCTGTCCTCAGGCGTTGTCTCTGATACAACAATGTCACATGTGTCTCCGTTATGACGGCATCTAGGACTCGTCTCATATTAGACCTGTCAAGAAAGATACATGTGTCAATGCCTGCCTGCGGAATCTCCACATTGCAACGACAACTAGGCAAGACATCCTCAACATGATCTAGTTGTGTCTGCTCCTCCTCTAGTATCTCCTGATGAGCTCGTCTCGGTGGATCTCTTGGAGCAGCATGCATCATATATAGATGTGATACCCTAAAAAACCATGTGATGTACCTTTCGACGTAGCTCCAATCACTCTCAGCTATGGTAGCCCGTGCCTCCTCTAGTACCAAATGACTCTCATAATCATCAAACATCTCATCTATCTATCTACATGTCAAGGGAGGAGAAGCAGAGATAGCAAAGTGTCTGGGAATGGTCTGAGTATAGCCGAATTGCCGAATGACGCACTCGGGTAGAAGAGGGGCAGTGAGACGCGATCCGCAACAACCATCCAGAGTATAACATTATCTCGTCAAATGACTGTGTCTCACGGTGATCAACATAGTTGTTGAAGCGCATGTCCTCAGCAACCAAATGGTCAAGATACACTCTGAAAGGCTTGGTCACCTGGTTCCTTCTGAGCGGGATAAAAGAAGTAGCACATGTCATATCCTCAGTGTAATCAGGTACACTCGCTCAACTGGAGATGCGTGGGAAGTGCTGAAGGGTCCAAGTCTGTAATGAAAAGTTTGGAACACACGAATAATCAGTAATAGCTTTGTAAAGGTGAAACGAAAATGACAAAAAAAACACTAAAAGATCAATAATTATTACCGTAAGTAGTGTCACGCTTCCTATGACCTGTTTCGTCTTCAACATACAACCCTCTCTCAACTTCAAATACAGGTAGACCAAACAAGTCGCCCCCTAGTTGTACTCATGGATACACTTGAAATTCACGAAGTACCGTAGGTAGACGACGTTTGTATAGGTGGAACTCTTGTCCACAAAAATCGCAGTGACAACCAAATAAACTAGGTATGCTCTTAATGCATGCGATCTATAGAGCGCCACCTACTCATCATCACCATCAGCCTGTTGTGCACTCAGGATCTCAACCTCATATAGTTTCTTTAGGAATTCAAATCTAGCATGAGCACCCCTGGTCTTATCCAACTCCTCCATCGCTTCCCCTGGATCAGCCCCTAGATACTCTACCATCATCTCGAGTGCCCTGTCTTTGGTCATCCTCCCATGATCTAGGAATCTCCCCTGATCAAAAGATGTAGCAAACACGAGACATCGTCAAGTGTAATAGACATATCACCATGCAAGAGATGAAACAATAAGGTCTCCGAGTGCCATCTCTTCACGAATGCATTAAGCATTTCATGGTTGGCCATAGTATAACCGGTCATGCGCAAGTCTTTCAGGCCAGATAAGGACAAAACTGACTGAAACCAATCCTCATTTGGCTGAGGTAAGACAACAATCTTTCTTCGGTGGTTAAGAAACTTTTGCGGATCATACTTCTGGAAAAAAATAATCAACGTCAGAAATTTGTCAATTAACATAAAAAAATAATGAAATCCAACTAATACTACCTCTCCGTCCTAGATATGTTTGACAATATGATTTGGATACAAAGGCAGTAATGACAAATCAACTAGGCCTTCTCCAAATGCCTCTGGCTCAACATCAGTAGCCTCACCCTTCAGAGGTGACACTGGATCAGTAGCATCAGCAATAAGAGGTGGAACTGGATCAACATCATCTACAGTAGGAGGTGGCACTGGTGAAAACTGAGGCCTGCGGGAGGATGGAAGGAGTGATGCGTCAGATGGTGAATCTTGTCTCCTATGGGAAGAAGAAGATGGAGTGGCATGAGGAGAAGTACAAGCCCCAGATGTAGATGGCTCTTCCTGATCAGAGGGACCATGAACCTCTGAAACCTGATAACTCTTCTCCCGTCGCACTGATGCTTGTTGAGCAATCCTCTTGTGCTCAGTCTGTCCTGTTTATCAATCATTATGCATGTAAGTTAAAGTAAGGCCGACCATTAGTGCAGGCTAACAACACACAAGCAAAAAAATAAAATAAAAAATACTGCAGAAAATTTCGGAGATGCATCTCTGGAAGTTGTGAAACTAAAACGTTGAGAAATTTCGGAGATGCATCTCCAGAAGTTTCTGGAAAACTAAAACGCTAAAAAATTTCGGAGATGCATCTCCGGAATTTCCTGCAACTCATAAGTTGCGTCAATGTACCCCATACAATCTCAATAAAACTAGTTTTGATCATCATTTTCAGTCAACAAACATCTAATACATTATGTCTAAACTATCTTAAATGTTATTACTACTCATTTCTGACTCTAATAATTGATTTATACTCATTTACACAAAAACTCAAAAATTTATAGAAAACTCAAAAAACATACAAGAAATTGATGTTTTTGATGTTGTTTATGATGTTACAGATGATGGTTGATGTTCCATGGAGCCTTGTTGAATGAGTTTTGACTTAGTCTAAAGAAGAAATTTGAGAGAGTTTGAAATTGAGTTTGAGTAAAATGAAAAATGAAGGAGAAGAGTCCGACACAATTTAATCTCCAAAATGTTTTGGAGATATATCTACGAAATATTTTAACGTTAGCTGACATTTTAATATATTTGAAAATGTATCTCTAAAAATTAAAAAGATTTTTAAAATTCTGTAAGAAGTGCATTAAAAAATTCCTCTAATTATTTTGTTAAAAGCATAGACATAGACTTAAATACAGAAATTGAAATTCGTTCTATATTTAGGGGGGGTTTGACCACAAATTGAAATTCAAGCAATATAAACTAAATTTCTCCTTCATTTGTTTTTACTTTCTGTTTTACATGTGGAAAGACATGCACTAATCATCCTAGTATGCTGATTTTTCTCTTTACGCATATCACAATTCAATATTTTTGACAAATGAAATCAAGATGAATTTTATGGCGTTTGATATTGTTTTTTATTGGATTGTGATTGTTGCTATTGCAATGAGATTTAAGTCTTATTGGATTGAGACTGTGATTGGCAACATTCATAATTTCTACTATTTGGCACTCTTCTTAAAGCTTGTTACATGCTTCACCTTTCTGACTGACCATGAACTTGTCTCAAACATTTGGTTTAGATTCCATTCCCTACAACATCACATGTATCACTCTCCACATGTTACAACATCATCAACACACTCAATTCCAAATTTTCTGTGTCCCACACATGAAATATGTCACAAAAGGGGTTTTCTCCTTCTTATCCTCTCCCTAGAGACTTCATTCCAATATATGCTTTATTGCATAACTTTAACATTTGGGACATAGTTTGTCGCTTACACCAACACACACGCCTAAAATTCAATAAATGTTTATAAATTTGGTATTTTTAGATAAATATTTAAATTTATGTATGAATTAAATTTTAGTGCAATATATATAAATTAAAAATTAGATGTAGTTTAGTGTGATTTGTAGTTTTTGATCATCGCTATTATAGTAATTAGATTTAAATATACTTGTGATCCTTCTGTTTAAACTTTTTTTTAATGTTTAAATCTCTTCGGCGTAAAATTTAATTTTTGTTTAATCTCTTATTTAACGAATTAAAAAGAAATTATTTTGTAAATTTTGCATAATTGATAATGATGTGATATATATGATAATATCTTATTTAACGAATTAAAAAGAAATTATTTTGTAAATTTTGCATAATTGACAATGATGTGACATTTATAATTAGGGTAGAAGTGAAAGAATATTATTGATTAATACTCATTCATGTTATATATTTTATAATTAATTATCTTAATAGATTTATGATCTATTTTATTAATAAAAATTAAAGATTTTAAAATTTAATCTTCATAAAAATCAAATTTTTATAAAAATTAAAATTTGTAAATTATTTTTATTTTAAACCCAAAAAATCAAATCTTCCTTAGAAAAATACAATTTTATTAATGAAAATTTAAACAAAAATCTTATTGAAAATAAAAAATAGATGCAGTTGGAAAATTGATGATTTTGAAGGTGACTCTGTTCTCCTTTATGGTGGCGCGGATGAACATGCATGATTAGCACTCTAACATACAAGTCAGTTCAAGATTCAAGATGAGTGTAGTGAAAAGTGAAAATCAGAGAGATTATACTTTGCTCTTAGCGTGTGGATTGATTTTATACTTTA